TTCTTTTATAAATATTTTTAAACATGTTTTTTCTAGAATTGAATTTGTATTATATTTTCTTCAGTTACTTCTCTGAAATAAAGAACAAGCATGAAAGGAAATGCAGACTTTAGTGACTGGTTTTCATTTTTCAATGAATATGCAAAATCTACAGCCGAAACCAGAGCAATTCCTGGAATGAAAGGTATTTTTTATTTGAGAAAAACAATTCATTTGTGACAAGTTGCTTTAATCATTATTTCAAATTTGCTACACAATTAAATAGGACCTTTACAAATTGTTGTGTATTAATATTAGTTTTTTTATAAATCAAATATCAAATGAGTGCAACAATCAAACTGTTAATCCTTTCAAGGACCCACTGAAATTCTAAAGTACTAAATAGCCTATATAATTATTCACTGATGAGATTTACTATTTCTTACTCATTCGAATATATGTAACTGAAAATGCTTTCTTTTTTCTTATTGTGATGGCTTTTTTAATAAATAGAAAACTAATAACTTGAGATTTTATGAGCATTTTGAGCATGAAAATGCCAAACAGCTGAAAAACTGGAAGCAAGATTTGTCAAATGATGAGGAAGTAAATTTCATGCAAATTACACAATAAGATATGCAAAATAAGAAATACTATTAATAACTCACACAATGTGACAATATATTTTTATTTTGCATATATTTGCATATGGAGCACCTTGTGCATAAATAAAATGATATAGTGTTTAAATTGATAAAATAAGGTAATTTTATAAACATTACTAAACATTTACAAAAATGGCATTTATAGGTGATAATAATATAATAGAAAAATAAAACAGGAAAAGTATAACCAATAATTGTCTATGGCACCATTTCAAAGCAGTTTGCTGTTTGAACAAATTCTATAAAATATTTTCAATTTCAAAAACTAAAAGTAATAAACATAGAGGCTAAAAAAAAATAAAGTTAATATTTTAACATTACATAAATAACCATAAAAGAATATATAAAAATATTGGGTTGGAACAAGAGTTCATAGTTTTTTAAGAGAATTTCAAAGACAATATTTAGATATTTGTACATATTCAAGCACATATGTGCCATTTTGTTCCATTACCTTTTTCCATCTTTGAGGTAGCTTTATAATTCCATCCTCACAGAACCTGCCAGCTTTCTAGAAGATGAAATAGTCTAAGTGGTTTTATTGGCTTCCAGAGAATTGAGATTCTTTCCATTAAGAGAATTTTGTAGTGATCAAAGTAAGGGGTAATCTGAAGGTGCAAGGTCAGGTGAGTATGGCAGGTGTAGGTGTATGCTCTTGACAAACTGTACAAATTTTTGCAAAGAGATGTGATATCAGTATTGTATTGATGGAAGATGGCACCCTTCTTATTTGCTAATTCTGGATACTTTTCATCAATTGCTGCCAATTTGAAACATAACTTGTCCGAATTCAATGTCTGATTTAACAGAAACAGCTTGTAATAGACAATGTCCTTCTAACTCCACCAGATTCACAGCATCATAATCCATCATTCATCGCTTGTGATTGTTCTTTTCCAAAATGTGTTGATTTTGTTGTTTGAGCAGAAAATCATAAATAGAAAGGCAGTCAAATTAAATTTTTTTCTATTAAATCATGTGACACCAAAATATCATATGGATTTACATATCCAAGTATTTTCAAATGCCTTACAATGCTCATAAGAGATATGTGGAGTATCTCTCTGATGACTCATGTCATGTGACCTTGGTTATTTTTCATGGATATTTACATTTGGCCATCATCAGTGACTGCAGGTCAACCAGAATGTTCTTAGTCTTGCATATAAAAATATCCACTTCCGAACATAGCAAAAACAGCACTCTCTGCTATGGCACTATCTCCAAAAATGACACATACCTTTTTTGCTGTTTCTACAGCATTTTTCCTTTCCAGAAATAATACAGCATCAAATGACAAAAATGCATCTCATATTCATAAAATTTCAATTTTAATGTAAAAACATTTAAAATTCACATTCCATATATGAACTGTATAGACATTAAAATGTCATCTTGCAGAATATGTATATATGTCATAAATTTGAGTCATGTGTTTACATACCACCTATTGAAAATGCAATAAACATATATATATGTGTGTGTGTGTGTCTGATTGTGTATCAGGCAAATAGTAACACATTTCATTCCATTATTAGCCTGAAGATGTTACTTCTTAATAGTGAAAGTGATTATTTACTGTAAATCTGTAAGCAGTGCAAAAGGAAATTTGTAAGCTAAATTTTTGTGTTATATTTTCATAAAAATATTCTTCATATCTATTCAAAGAAGGGATATTTTTAATATTTTTTCTACAAAATTTCAAAGCCTAAATTTTAAAAAACTGTATATATGAGTGTGCATCAATAAATTTACAGCCTGACACAAAAGTATTTACAAAATTTTTATCTGAAAGTTTCACAGTATAAGGTTTGATTTATGTGATTAAATGTTTTTTTTATCTTAAATATTTGGTGCATTAACAAGAAAAGAGATTATTTTGGAAAAAAAGTACTTGAAAAATAAATGCTATTTTCATCATTATGTTGTGAACTTACCTATGTAAGTAAAGAATATCTACTTAGTAACGATTTTTATAATATATTGCATATGGTTTTCAAATAAATATTTATATTATCAAATATTGATTTTTCCAGGTACTCAGAAATTGAGAAGTATTATGACAAATTGTTAACAAGATCATTATATTTTCTCAAACTGGAATCAAAAACAGATTTTCATCATAATAAAAGTTGATCTTTGTAATTATAATTAAAGATGCTTGAGATATCTAGAGATCATAGGAAATAAAAAGAGTTTATATTTAAACTGGGAAAAATTAAATACAAATGGGTTGAATAAACAATATCAAAATCAAAAAGAATAACAGAAAACTTAAAGTTGCAAAGAAAGCTGAATAATTTCCAAAGAAGCAAATTGAAAACAATGAAGAAGGAGAGAAATTGCAGAAAAAAAGATATTATAACCAGATAAATATATGCTAACAAAGAAAAAAAATAAGGAAATTGTTGGCAAAAGGTAAAAATTAAGGATCAAATAAAATTAAAATTACTTGCTGCAGTCTGTAGAAATTTACATGACATAGATTTGGATAACAGTAACTCATGTTTTCTAATGTGTACAAGTTTCAATTGTTTTCATAGATGTTATGTTGTAATTCCATTCTGGTTTAAAGTTTTGTTCAAACAACTGTCAGTCTTAATATACAAGCCCATATTTACACAGGAAAGCACATCCACTTGTGAAAGAAAACATGATTTATAATAGTTTTTGAATAATTTTTGTTACTACTTTTTGAAGGTTTTTAAAGAACAAATTGTGATATTTATGAGTAACTAATTATATGGTCCAAGAGAGCCATACTTTCAAAATATTAATTTTTTCTGGTTCTTGTTTTTATGGATCTAGTTTAAGTCTCATTTTATCCAACACTTTGATACAAAGCCACAAAATAACTCTTCAGTTGTGCAAAAGTTACTTTTTGAAGAATAGAACAGAACAGTTAAGTATAAAAAATGTTCTCAAAGCAATGGTCTAGACAAGGTTTTTTTTATTTTTTATCATTTTATTTGCCCTTATATGAAGTAATTGTCTTATCTTATGACTCAGTAACAAAAGGTTCATTATCAAATGTGCTGACTTTTTGTAATAAGATCTAGCTAAAATACAATGAAGTTTGTTTGATATCTGTTTTTGTTCACAAATAGTGTTATTCAGATTGGGCTACTTAATTTGATCAGATTACTTTGTAAATCAAAATATACTTTGGAATAAGACTTGGGTTGTAAGAAAAAGTATGCAAGGAAAAGTTTGTGAAAAGTAATATTTGTTTTTAGATAGAACAAACAGCCATCTCTTGTAGAAATTATTTCTTTTTGTTTTTGTAAGGAATGTTATAGTTCTCTGTTTCACAATTCATAACTTATATTTCAACTGAAAAATTGTAATCAATTGTGAAATAATTCATTGCTGTTCAAGATGAATAGTTTCTCCAATTGTGATAGAATTAAACTCTTTCCCAGATAGGATTTGCTACTACACACACACAGACACACACACACAGACACACAGACACACACATATATATATTAATTTTAAATGCCTGTGTTGTCCTACTGGCTATTTCTAAAAACACAGAAGTTGCAAAAAAGTAAAGTTGAATTGCCTGGAGCTGAGCTTAACATCTATTGTATTCCCATTAGTCCAGAATGTGATAAGTGTTCTCTGAATAAAAGTAGCTACTATTAGCTAAATAGACATCAAGAGATTTCTGTGTTTTAGTTCTGTGGAATTGGGTAGTGATGTAACTAGTGGTGGTGATGATGGGGGTGGGTTGAGTGAATGAATCCTGTCTGCCAAGGTAATTAATCATTAGTCTTTGCAAAAGGATTTACAAATCCCTTTTCAGTAGTTTCAGAGATTGGTTCTCATCTTACTGCTAGCTACTCTCTTTGTAACTTATCTACTTCATGTAGGAAGTTAAATAAAAACAAAGTTAGCGCAAAATAGCTGCTTTTATAATCATAGACATTGTTTGCTTTTATTTTGTAACTTTTTTGATGGAATTCTATTCTCCTATTCTATTCTACTATTATACAGATATTTTTGTGTTTTTGAAACCAACCCTTGAAGAGGAAGACAAGATCACATCTAATATGATGAACCAGAGAAAGTGAAACAGATGTGACAAGTTTGTTACTTTTAATCAAAATGTTTAAAAATGTTTGACCTGCTGATTACTAACAAGAAAGTTTTACTTATACATTAATAAATAGGTAGATATCAAATATTTGTTCTTGACTATAAAAGATTTACTATTTGCACTATAATTTTTAGTCAGTGGTGCACATTTTGTCCTTGGTTTAATCTTATATTAGTATCATTTGGATGATGCCGTATCCAAATTTTCCAAGATTTTATATTTATACATACATAAAAAATGTCTCAAATACTTACTGTTTCGATCCAGGGGACGGTTTCCTGCCAACCGTTCCACTACTTCCTGGTCCTTGTCCTGGTTGTTCATCTTTAGGACTCTCTGCACTCTTCCCTTCTTTGAGAGTGTGATATTTTTGGGGAACTTGAGGTGGCGCCACACCCAAGAGGGTTTTGCTGCGTTTGGGGGTAGACTGATTAGACTGTGAGCGTCCATTGGTTTCATCTCCCGAGTCGGGCGTCATTGGACTCCCAAGCTTTCCCGGGGATGCAGCCCTTGGAGAGACAGGGCGGAAAGTGGCCAAGCGCGGCTGACCAGGCGCTGTCACACTCGCTGAAAACCAGGCTGCCTTGGAATCAGCAGAAGACGTAATAGATGAAGCAGGTTGCACCTCCTCGAGGTTAGGCATTGGAAAGATTTGTGAGGCTTCTTCGAGACAGGGGTCAACCTCCGCTGAGGTATCAGTGGTCCCTAGAAACACTTTTTGAGCATCATTCTCAAAGATACACTCACTTCCACTTCGAAAAGCGGTTGACTGGCCGTTGTCAGAGACAGTTGTTAAATCATCAGCCAGTGGGATGTTTCCTTGGGGGCTAAAGCTCGGCGTTTCTATAGGAGAGGTCTTCACTAAGACATTGACAAAGGCGTCACTCGCCTCTTGAGCCGCACCAGCTTTGAATTGTTGCTTGGTAGCATCTTTGCTGTGAATCTCAGCAGCAGTTACAAGAATTCTACTTTCATCACTAGCTGCAGACTGAAAATCTTGAAATTCGCTTTGGGAAGGTGAGGGAACATTAATCAACTTGGGTTCACTTTTACCCTGGCTTCCCTGATATTTTCGAAAATCTTTGGATCTAAATGATAGTGATGTTTTCATGGGACTACTTGCAGATGGATCAATTATAGAATTCTTTGAACTGCCTTCAGATAGTTCAGATTGTTCAACACCTTCATCTCCATTTCCCTTCCTCTCCGGCCAGGCCAGATCGACTCTCACTGGCAAAGTGGCATATTCACTCTTCATAAATTCAGTCTCTTCCTCATCTCTCTCTCCACCGCTGTCATCAGATAAATCTCTTGTTGCTTCAAAAGCACCAGACTTTTTCAGTTCCTCCTGAAAAAGAAGAAAATATCAACTTAAGTATAATTTGACAACAATCAAGAAACAGGGTTTTGGTCATGTGTCCTTTCCAATATGTATATGCAGGAACCTGCTAACAGTAATGGCTATAATCATAAGATAAAATTTTAATTTAGATCAGTAAATGGGCAGTTGCTTGGATATCATAGACTACTAAAATATCATCTCCAGTGTTAATTTGAAAACATTAACATTAAAGATATTGAAAAATAGAAAAGTTGTAAGCATAAAAATTGTACTTTAAGCTGATAATACCTTATTTATGACACTAAAGCTTCTCCACCAAGCTATTAGAAGTTGATTTGATGAAAATAGAATGTTTAAAAAAATTAAAATAGATATATATGAAGAACATGTGTACATGCTTTTCACTCTTTTAAGTTTCAGTCCTGAAAAAATATTTAAAATGATGCATAACAGTGTAAATCAAGATAGTTTCTGAAATAGTAAGAGAAAAAAAAAAGAAAATGATTAATTATACAAGTCCTTGTTAAAAAAACAAACCTGCTTGCATGATGATACAGAAAAAAACACAAAAATTTCATATAATATATTTCGCAATGAACAGCAAAATCTGAATGATATTCTTTATTGCTAATTGATAGACATCATCAATAAAAAAAAATCAAAGTACTGATGCTTATTAATGTCTGAATAATTAAAGTGTGTCACTCAATCAGTGGAACAGAATGTAATAAAATAGCTTCAAATTTTTTTTCTCAGACATTAAGATACAATTTCAATTTCCGGTTGCTAACAATTGGTGTCTTTTATAGAAATGCTCTTTTGAAAGGCACACACATACAATCTTGACAACTGTGATTCCTCTTCTGATGTGGACTTGAGAGATTTATGATCACTATGCAAACATTTGTGCTATTCTTATCCAATTTTGCACAAAGTATCAATCCTCACTTTCCCTTCAAATATGTATCAGTTGTTCTTGAAAATTAGATGAAGATAACATAGTAGCCAGTTGATAGTTGTCAATGCTCACAAGAAAAGAAAACAGTTTATTCATAATAGTGCTGATGTCTTAATTTTATTCACATGGAAGAGTTAGAGATGGAACACAAACAAAAATGGTTAGCACCATGGCTATATCTGGAATATAGAAAAAAAATCTGTTGTTCATGGCATTTACTGCAATAAATAGAATTCAGCCAAGTATATCTTTGAAACAACTAAACAAAACAATATAATTTAAGCTCTGACATCATCACGTTGTGTTGTTATTATTGTTGTGTATACTATTTCTGTTTTAAAAGTTATCTTTGATGCTTTCCTCTTATCTTAAAACATTGTGAGTAGACAAGGATTTTATTCTGAAAATATTCCAGTTAAACAATTTCAATCCTTTTAAGGTATATTATCTTATTCCTATTGTTATTATTATTATACAAATATATAAAACTCTTTTATTTCATTCATATAATTACTATTATTATTAACACAAAAGAAATCTCTTTTTCCTTCTCATATCTAATTGTGTAGATATCTGTTGCCTTCATTGCTACTCCATTTTACTCACTTCCTGTTTTGCAGATATAATTTTTTATGTTTCATCCAATCCCTTTTCCTATCTTTTAATATGTATTCATTGATTGTTAAATATTAATAAAATTTAATCTGATTATAATCAGTATGTTTATCTCCTTAAAAGCCCTCATGATGAAAAGTAAATAACAAAGAAATATTCCATACATATAATTGTAAGTTGACAAATAAAATACTTTAGTGTTATACTGACAAACCTACACATTACAGTCAGTACTATTATTATGAAATAAAACTAAAAATATATTATCATAGAAAACTCATCTTTGCTAAACCCTTATTAAATGAAGGAAAAGTAAAATCTAAGAAATAAAAGGAGAATTTCACTACCAACTTTCAAATGAAGAAAAAGTTTTTGTTAAAACATTAAATGATGGATTTTGTATCTTGCATAGATGTTAATATTTTCTTGGAAAGGGAACAAAATACAAGATGACAGAATGAAGAATATTAAAGCCTGATTGTAATGGTGAAAATGATGATATTAAGTAATTTAGAAAGATTGATGATAAACAAAAATGTACATATTCTATAATCAACACATAATCTAAAACATGTTCTTATTCTCTATACTTCCTACTAGTGGGCTTGGTCTATAAAATCTCAAGTCATTACAATAAACTAGACTTGTTCAATACTACCTCACTCCCTTTAAAAAAAAAAAAATAAAGAATAAAAAATTGTAAAATTTATTTTTCTTCTGAAATGTTTGCATTAGATGCATGCAAAGGTTTCCAGCATTTTTATTGTTTTCTATTGTGTATTCAATCTCCAGTAATAAAAAGGGTGCTTGTGGATGTTTTTGCACACCTAATATATATACAAATATATACAAACTCACTCAAATGCATACAGAATTAATATATATTATACACAAGCATATATCTGTATGTATCAATGCATAAGTACCCAAATATATGCACCGGTTTAAATGTACATACTTATAAACATTCATAATGAGTATATGTATATATATATATATATGTATGTATGTATTAAGGTGTATACATGTATAAAAACATATATGCATGTCAATATTTACATACAGTTGTATATTAATATAAATAATCATATAAAGCTTTGTGCATTGTTAAATCATTTTGTAATTTTGTGTGGATGTTACATCTTTAATTTGTTGTAGCCATTTTTATGGTTTAGAAAAGCAATTATTGTTGCCAAAAAATTACAAGAAAATAACATACAAAATAGAAGTTAAAGACAGTCAAAGATTTTCTGACAAAAGTCATTAAGACAAAAGATCAGAATTTTCAGTAAATGAAATAGTGTATATGCTTAGTAACAAGCAACTACCATGAATAACCAACTTTGCATTTTGCTTCATCTGTCCACCAGTGAATTGTTTGACGATATCACAACGCAACTTCTAAGCTTTCTGATCAATACTAAATGAACTACTTTTCTGGGGCACATTTGTCAGCCAATGCATAATGATTGCAAGCAAGTGAAAAAAGTGGAAGAGAAAGATAAGATGATGCAAATGTGGATCGATAACTAGAGGAAGGAAGGCTTAGGTGTGCAAAGCAGCAGCAGCAGCAGTAGACATGAGGGTAGTAGTAATTGCAGCAGAAGTGAGAAACATTACTCAGCTTTGAAAGCAGAGGAATAAGATGACATCTGCTGTTGTCTGCAACAGACAGTCAGAAATTCTTCAGTTCTGTTCCTCATTCACAATCAAGATAATTCCACAATGGCTTCAAAATCTCTACAAGTAGTGAATGAAAATGTACTCAAAATGTCAGCCTTCCTTGTTGATTGTTACCAATAAAATGTGGGCAGATATAGAACTGCTTATATGAATATGGATTGAAATAAGCCATTTTTCCTTCTTTGAAGAAAAGTACTAAACAGAAGGAACAATAACTTAAAGAGAGGTGACTGAAAAGGTAATTGCTGTGGTTAAAATATCTACATCTGCCTTTTCATACTATTGCCAAACAGAAGCCAACATAAGAGAATTATACTTGATGAAATCTTCAGTTATGCATTAAAAATCATTTATTTGAAAGGAAATCACCTCATTTAAAATAAGAGTAATATTTAATGTTACTTCAGTTTTCTTTGCAAAAAGTAGACAATATGAGAAAATAGTATAGTGGATTAAAGTGTTGGTTCTTGAAGTTGATGAAATAGTAAATGTAAGTTCAATTCCTGAGCCAGGCAGTATAGAAGGCAAACAATAATTGAGCAGTACTAAAATATGAACTAGAGGAGATATCCCTAAACCTGAGCAGTGTAACGAGAACAATCTACCCCCATAGATTAAATAAAAGGCTCAGTTTGGAATTCCCTTTAGGTTACTCAGATTGATATACACTTGATAAAGGCCAGAAGACACAATGTTGTAATGACAACAACAAAGATAAGGACAATAGTCCATGAGTAAATAGCATAAATAATAATAACTCCTTATCCCAGAAATTCAAACTGAAATTAGTTTTACTTACGTGGTAAATTCAGCAATATATCTTAGTCTGAACATATAATAAATTGCATGATTCTTTTTAAGAAGACTTTTTTTACTTTTAACAGAGTAAGAGTATGAGATAGAAATTTATTGTTCACTTTGTCAATATATTAATGATTTCCTTCATTCTGAATCATTACATTTATCATGTATATGTATAAAACTATTGACCAATTTAAAATGAGAACTTTTTAACAAGAGATAAAAATAATCTACATTGTTTCAATGGTTCAATTTGCTGAATGTTTAGTATAATTAGTCAGATGATTATTGCTTCAACATAATTGTAATGTCATAATTATTATTATTATTATTATTATTATATAAAATAAATATTCTTTAGGGAATATAGCAGTAAATCTTGGCAGAAGAAAATCATGTAGTAGCTTTTATGATGCTTGAGTTGGTATTTACTATTTTATACATAAATCTTGCATCTTATTACTATCAGTGCAAGAGATGTAAAAATTCACACACATACACACAAATTATATTTATATATATATATATATATATATATATATATATATATATATATATGTGTGTTATATATATAGATGACCTGGCGATTGCATCCAGCATGAAATAGCCTGTTGCCTCTGAGTGTTGACTTCAATGTTCACTTTTATATTTATAATTACATACGCTCTATCTCTGATATTGAGCACTTTATCCTATAAATATATCACACCTTAAAACTATATTTCTTCGTATATATATATAAATTGGACACATGACTTTTTGAAAGAGATATCCAGATATATATATTTTAACTTGCAAGCACAAATAGAATTAAAACATGCTCCCTTTGGAAAATGTTCATTGAGGTTGGGATACTTTTTCTAGCATATAAAAATATATTAAAAAGTGGCAGAATGTATCATATTACTTAAAAGTAAATAAATTTAACCCATTTCAGTACCCACTCATA